TGGGCACCCCCAGGCAAGGGCAACTCATCTTGGCTCAATATTATGATAAAGTTGAGAAGAAAGGCACTTTACTCATAAACAAAGTCTCACGCCTCACTAGCAAAAGGTATATGAGAGAAGTTTAGAGGTGATGCCTTACTCAATTTATCTCTGGCCTTAGGCGCAGTCTCTTTGATGACCTATTTGCGGCACATCCGGTCGATCTTAGCTGTTTTAGCAGTCGCACAGGAAATCGAGGCTAATTACGACAGATACACTTTCGCAACAAAGTATGCCAGCAGCAAAAGTCTCAACAGCCCCAACAATCCAAACAGAGCGACCAGCGTAATGGTAGGCAAAGCAACGGCAGCAATGATCACCAACATATCGACGTTGACCCTTCAAGGTCTCGAGTAACCCACAGGCTTACAAGAGAACGGACACCTCTGACCGAGCAACGGGTCAGTGGCGCCAAAGGGTAAATCACACTACTCAAAGCCAAGAATGTGGATGTGAGGGGTATGCAGCGGCAGCAAAAAATGCTGATTCGCAAATAGCTGACGATTCGGAAGGGGACGATCTCTGACGATCTCAAATTTTTTAAGGTTGGTCCCGGTCAGGCGGGCAGTAGCGGGGACTCAGATGAAGTTCCTCATTGACACGGATGCGGCAAAAAATTACATTCGTCCGCACCATGGGCTGGAAGAAGTCCGCCAAGTCGATAATCCATTTACCACCCACTCCATTCAAGGCACTACCAAGATTTCAGAGAAGTGCTATGTATCAATGTTTGGAAAAAAATGCTACTTTTTTTCTTCCCTTGGCAATAATCCTGAACCAATATTGTACCATAGGTGTGTGGATGTCAATTTCACTACGAAAAAGTTTTTTAAAAATGTTAATGGGGTGGAAAAAGACTAGACGCTAACGAAGCGCTGCCATACAGCACTACTGTAGTAGCCACTATAAAAACTGTTGACGAACAACCTAGCTATGCTAAGGTGTACCCATATTCTATGGGCGCAGCTGAATTTCTCAATAAAGAAATTAAAAATCTCTTGGAAAATGAAATAATTCAGAAATCTGTTTCTCCCTATAACAACCCCATTTGGGTGGTTGACGAAAAGGGCACGGATGAAATGGGTAACCGAAACATGCGTCTTGTGATAAACTTTCGGAAACTCAATGAGGGAACCATAGCGGACAGATGCCCAGTATCTCTATGGTTTTGGGAAATTTAGGTAACACCAAGTACTTTTCGACGCTGAATCTTAAGTCTGGCTACCACCAAATCACGCTCGCAGAGCTTGACCGAGATAACTTATTTTTCGGTGAACGGAGGGACATTACCTTGGATTTGTTTTCACTACCCGGGCAAGGGTAAGACCATTCATGGTTTCCAGTAGCCCAAGATAGAAATCAGATCGTTCTTGGGACTTGCAAGCTATTATAGATGCTTTATTAAAGATTTTGCATCAATAGCGAAACCCATCTCCAACATCCTATAGGGGAAAATGGGTCACTCAGCAAACATAGATAACGAAAAATTCCATTCGAATTTGTGCTTTTCGGAAACTGCGGAACATATTGGCATCCGAGGATGATATGCTTCGATACGCTGACTTCAAGAAGCCGATTGATCTAACGACCGACGCTTCAGGATATGTTATTGGAGCAGTACTTTCCCGAGAAGGACGAACCATCACAATGATCTTTAGAATGTTAATCGAAAGAGAGCTGGAAACCGTAAGTTTTGCTATGGCAAGATATGCCCCTAGCCATCAAGTGGGAGAAACTAAAGGAATTAACACAAGTATCGCCACTAACCACGACGCCCCTGTCTGCGTTTTTTGTGACAGTTCTGGTCATGGGATATATAATTGTTCTCAATTTGGAAACTTGACTCCTGCATTACGGCTTAGGGAAACGAAATGACTTGCATTGTGCCTGAACTGTCTAAAAAAGGTCATTAATTGCGACACAGACCAAATCAAAGCATTTATGTTTTTGCGGTAAAAGCTGCACAACATGCCTGGAAAAAATGTCGGCAACATCTTCTGCCAAGTTGCTTCATGCTAGTGTCCGATTTTGTCGCTTTGCAACAGAAGTCAAATAAGCAGGACCTACCCAGAGAAGTGATGCATAACTCCCATTATGATATGGATGACCGGGCTGTCGAGAAGTTGAATCATGTCGACTTTCTGAGTCGACATGCACAAGATGTACTCATGTGATCCACAGAACAACAGACAGCACGAACAAGAAAAGCCAGAACGAGGACGATCACATCAAAGCAATCGTTTGAATACTTAAAGGAGCCGTACTTGATCTATAAGCTAAATGGCGGTTTGCTGTTAAAGGAAGCTGGAGGCAATGAATTGCAAATCCCAAAGCTGATAGAGCGAGAGGTAATCATGAATGCTTATGAAGGAAGGGTTATTACTTTGCATCCAAAACGGCTGGATGTTTTAAAGCAATATAATTGCAAACTTCACTTCGTGGAAGCGTTCTTCAACGTTGTCTTCCCTTGTTAGCTATTCTCTGTTCGAGGGTAGGCCAGGCCAGGCTGAGCTTCAAAATATTTTCTATAACCCCAAGATAAATAAGATTTTTTTAAAGGGTTTGTAGTATTGCGATCTGATCAGCATAGATAGAGCTGGCCGCTGATGAAGACGAGCTTTTGTGAAGATGTGTGTAATCTATGGCCCTGATAAGGTCAGATACGATCGTTCTCACTTCCGCCCTTTGGGCAATTGTATCTTACCGGTCCTCCTGCACATTCTTAATATAATTTTGGTTCCTCTAACCACTTAACTTGGGGGAGCTTCACTGAAGGATATATTTCACACTATAACAATTATTTAAATTCGGATTTAATCGTCAAGCAAGGGGATCCTACTTACCAACTAATTAGTCTCCCCTCTTTTCTCTTAAAGACGGCAGACCGTTTGTATATAAGGTGGCGACGCCTAGCCATATACGCTATACAGTCGTCTGGTACACATGACAGTATTGTCATTAAAACATTCAACCAAAAAACATTTTTTTTTTAATTCGTATTCATTGCTCATTTATCAAATAATTTGAACTAGCTGTTATTGCCCGGTCTGTGCGTTCAGTCATTCATTCGTTTTGGACAGGCAAATTAAACACCTCCATCGGTCGGATATGCTATTAGACAATAGCATAGAAGGAGACATCTCCGACACCATAAAGTTTATATTCTTGATCAGTATCATCAGTCCGTCTGTCTGTTTCTATGCGAACTAGTCTCTTAGTTGTAAAGCTATCTTTATGAGCACATATGTCAGAATCAGCTGAATCGTACCACTATATCATATAGCTGCCATAGGAACGATCGGTCGAAAATCAAGCTGTTGTATAAAAAACATTTTTGTTTATCAAGATATCTTGACCAAGCTCGGTATATACTATTTCTACTGTGCTCCTCATATATATGCAAAAACCTTTTAAGATCGGACCACTATATCATATAGCTGCCATACGAACGATCGGTCGAAAATTAAGTTGTGTGGAAAACGTTTTTGTCATTCAAGATATTTTGATTAAAGGTTGGGTCTGCAAGGGTATTAGATCTTTGGCGTGCCGAAGATAGCCCTTCTTTCTCATCATAATTTGATATATTGAATAATTAGGAAGACACTCGCTTTTGTCGACCATTTAATAAATAAATATAAAAGATAATAATTCACATTTTTTTTAATGAACGTTCTTTTTATTCGTTACAAAGTCCAACGAATACAACGATTTGACCGCACTGTGTAATAGCATATTTCAAAAAGATCTGACTTCAGCCAAGTTTCTCGATCATCGTCAAACAGGATGGACCTATTTTACGTTGATTGAATGGATCTGTATCGTATAAATTATTCATTTTTCGGTCTAGCAAAATGGAAGGCATCTAAAATTTGATCCCTTTGCACGCATGAGATTATTATGGGACTGCGCTATGCTTAACCCACTATAAGAATTGTCAAAATAAGTAAAAGACGCTAGTAGGGAGTTTTCAACTAGAAGATAACTTGAACCCTCTTCTACCAACAACTCGTTTGCTTTAGTAGTAATAAAAATAAATTTAAAAAAAACTTAGGTCGCTTCCTTGCCACCACCTCGCCCACAATCGGAATTGCAAAAGAAAAAGGGGAAAGTTATCGATTATGAGAAACAAACTCATACTCTGCGGGCACCAGGCGGACGTACCGTCAAAATTTCCAGTCTCTAGTTCTCAAATGTTTTCTGAGATTCTTGCGTTCAAACATATGGACAGACAGACGGACATGGCTAGATCGACCCAGCTGTTAATGCCGATCAAGAATATAAAAACACTATGGGGTCGGAGATGCTTTCTTCAGCCTGTTACATACATTTGCACAAGTACATTATACCCTTTTTACGCATTTTCAATGGGTTCAATGTATACAAAAATCCCAAGACAATACCTTATAAATTCGTTTATTTCAGTTTTTATGGGAACGGCGGACAGACAAGTATAAAGATATGAATGGAAGGCCTACTGATGTTGATTAAGAATAATTATTCCATGTGGTGTCGGAGAAGATTACTTCTGCCTGTCAAACATGTGCATAAAACCCTTTTTAAGCGGTTTCAGGTCCAAAATGAAGAACTAAAAGAGTTTTAGCCCAGGGTGTCCGACTAGGAGGTACATTGATGATAGGAGATACCCTGATCCAAACAACATTTTTTTTATACATGTATGCACAAAAACACGCATAGACACACAAGGGAAATGAATTCCTGGGAAATTTATTTTTATTAAATCTGGGCCGGTCAACGCCGAAAATCGATTTAGTTTAAAATGTATATAAATAAAATGACTATACAGGCTTAACACCAATTGTTTGGCTTTTCCAATTTCAAAAAGACCACACTCGATTTAATTTGAAAAAATATCTATATTTAGATTCTTAATGCTTGTACATACAGCATTTATGTTCTATATTTGAACGTACATCCGTTTTACGTCATTCGGTATTCGGCTTTTCAACAGTAATCGTCAATAAGTTTAATTAGTTGTAAAAAAAAGTGTAAGTAAGCCAATTTTTTATACTTTATTTTATTATATTTTTTTCTCCCATTTAGTGCTAGTTATGAGCCATTGGAGTTATATTGCTTTATGGCTGTTGTGTGTAGCAGCAACATTACAATCCATAGAATCTAGTAAATATGCAGGCAAGCCTTTTTCTCGACACGATAAATGGACGCAAGCTTTTAATGGAGAGTATATCCCGATCCAATTTTATAATGCTATGAGATCAGCGGAGGCCTCTAAGCAATCATTACAAAACCAATTAAGAAATTTTTTGGAGCAATTACAGAAAAATCTAACGACGTCTACTTTGCTATCTCTCATAGACAATACCCAACAAAATACAGATCGTCAGATAAGCAAATTATATGAATTATCGGTGTTTTTTTATACAGCGGCCGATGTGGCTAGATTTTTTGCCCGCGATTCTGAGATTTTCTTCGAAATTGCTAAGAACTCAAGTTATACCCTGTTGCTACAGCTTCGCCAAATTCCAGCAACTCAACCTACTGCAATTAAATTACTTCTAACCAATTATTTTGCGGAAATGGAATTTTTTCATGTAATGTTTTCCGAGATTATTGACGAAGCACTGGAATACACACAGAACATATTATTCGCGACTCAAAAGACCTTTACATACTACGCAGATGTTCAACGATTTATTTTGCAAAACTGGAACTTTAAGGGTGATATAGGCTGCTGTAAAGAATACATGGAATTTTCCCAACTTTATTCGTCCCAAATCTTTAAATGTGCCGCCGGACACGGTCTTGACGTTGCATTTGACGTGTTCGCCATGACTGAGCTTACTAGCAAATATGTTATGCGGCAGCTTGAGTTTCGGATTCAACGACTATTCAACTGTTTTTATTTTGGAAATTATGAAATTCGATGTAAATTTCTTCAAAATGCTGAACAAGACTTTCAAATGTTATTCAGTAAAATGGAGGAGTTGGAAATATTTTTTGACATCAAAATAAAAAATGGTCGCGTTTCAGCACTTAGAGTCCGACGTCAAGCTCAAATTGAAGAGGGTGCGTTGACTGGAGTAAAATCGTATGATGCTTGTATACCTAAAGACTTTCCACATAGTCAAATGCATCAGAGCTTAAAGCTGTGTTTTTATAATATAAAAGAATATTAATCATATCGTAATGCTTTGAAGGAATCAACTTTTCTACCAAGCGTTGTGTGCAATGCAACCAATTCATAACTATCTTAAAAAAATACATAAATTAAAATTTCAACATGATTTCGCTTGTTTCAAAATAAACGAACTCGGTGCCTGATAACACTTCGTGGCGAGAGATTAATTTGAGTGTTTACGTTCTTATTGCTGTCATTAATGTACATATACAAACAAGTAAGAGGTTCTAGTCGGGAGCTCCCGACTAGGGGATACCCTGAACCCTCTTTTTCCAACATCAAATGAATATATATATTCTATTTTAGAAGCTATATGTCAAGTTTGGTGACTCTAGCTCTTATTATTTACCGAAATTGCCCAAAAACAGGATATCGATATCGATTTTTATCGATTGCTTGGAAACGGAGTAAGTTATCGATTATCGGAAACAAACTCGATCTGCGCAGGCACTAGGAGCACCTACATCTAAAATTTCAAGTCTCTAGCTCTTATAGGTTCTGAGATCCTTACGTTTATACATACGGACGGACGGACAGACAGGCCGACGGATATGGCTAGATCGACTCGGCTATTAATGCTGATCAAGAATATATACATATACTTTATTGCCTGTTACATGCATTTGGATTTTGCACAAATACAATATACCCTTTTACCCATTTTTAATGGGTTTGGGGTATAAAAATGGTATACTCCGAAGATATCATTTTTAATGCGGTGATATTAGATATTCTTTCCAGAGTTTCACGTTATTGGTAACTGTGAAATAGATGCTTAGATAGAATAATTTATGTAAACAGCAAACATCATCAATGTAGCATTTGAAATATTTCAGAAATTATTTTATATACTGATTATTTATTACACCATTTTATTTACTGACATTTTCAACCATGTTATTTTATTCCCAACAAGTTATGATTGTTCATTTACAAATTTAGAAGTCTGAAGACGAATGCGTACAAGGAACAGGCATTCATTCAATCGATCGTTTCACTGGTTGCACAAAATAAGACACGATTTAAGTGCGATAGGTTTAAGACTGAGACTTGTTTTCGTAGAAAGAGACGTCAAGCGGGCACGCCTATGTATGTATGTATGTATGTATATCAATATATATATGTACATATATACTTTATGGGTTCGGGGACGTTTAATTAATACGCAATTAGTACCAGCACACATTTTTTCGTACGATCCGTTTCAATATATAAATGGAATTCCTGAACTCCTGCACTATACAAAATGTGCAGTGTGCCCAGAAAATTATGAGCTAAGGGTTATATTAAAAGATTAAACCACTAACCATACAACTGTATAGTTGTATGCTCAGTGTTACAACGCAACACAATAAGTTTACTTCTTTGTAATACAAACATCGAGGACTTATGGAATATTTGTAAATTATGAATTTAAAATTTTACCGACCTGAGTGTGGAATATGTCCCATTAAAACAATCTATAATAGGTTGATTTGAATAAAAGACAAATATTTTAGCTCCTTATTACATTTTTATTTTTTTTCAGATTTTTCGACTAGTGCCAATGAAATACAACATTTCGAGTACAGAACTTGTATATTCAGTAGCCTAATAAATTTGCGAATAATATTATTAATCTCATTGTAAACAAAATGAAAACATCTAGCCGTATATTCTAAATAAAAAGACTTATTCTCCAAGCAAATATTAATGCGATTGAGGATATGAGCCATATTAGCCATATAACCAGAACCATTAGCTAGTAGAGTACGAAAACTCTGACATAGTGATATAATTGGTGTTATGGTGATATTGCAGCAATTATGCAATTGTACAATTCCCATGTAAATCAAGTCATCCACAACATGACAAGTGCTTTTATAAATACGTTTCTTATCTGTAACCTTAGTTTTCCATTGTTTGGAATCTACAGTCTGATCAAAACGACTTTTATTAACAATGTTGCATGCCAATTCAATATTTTGGGGAACACTAGAAAAAATCTTTTTGACGTTTTCAATATTTCGTAAAACCGACCGAAATGATTCAGAAACATTAACTTCGCCAACTTCAGCTAGCTCAGATATAACATCGCCAAACAAGTTGAAAATACGAACCAAAGAGTCATTATCGGGACCCTTCTGCATATAAGTGATGGGCTCAACCATAAGAGCTATTAATTTGATTATCACATTGCCGCTTTTATGCCACTTTTCGTATTCATTCGATATTTTCCGTACGTCATCTTCATAGACCGCAGTATTTTTTACAGATGCCATTAGGCCAACTAATATTATGAGTTGAATAGCTCTAGATAGGCATCCCATTGCAATAGATTAAGCCCAAGTACTGTCCGAACAGTATATTGAATTGTATTTGCTGACAAACGATTTAGGGTGAACGAAACGAACTTCTTTCTGAATTCATACAATACATATAAACTTACATAGAAAACAAAGAAAACCGGTTTTATAAAGTGATCCTTTATACATACCTAGTATGCATTAAACAAATTATTCTGCTTATTTAATTATCCACACCCCAATAACAACATCTTATAGCCCCAGTTGATTTGGTCCACTCTAATCACTGGTCGTACTTTAATGTATATACATATATATTTGTTTTAAATAATGTATTTTCTGATGAAGCCCATGCATGTATATATATGTATGTATATATGTATATATATCATGTGCTTCATCAGAAAATTGATTATTGAAAATAAATATATGTACATATGATTGTGTATTCAAAAGCAAACTGAAATTCGGATTAAAGGCGAAACTATTCCTATATTGATAATTAAAAGCGTAAGCAGAGAAAAATGGATTTGCTAAAACTTAAAACATTCAACCCATACGTCAGAATATGTACTAGGTACGTACATAAACGTGTATGTATTTGTGCCTTATCAGACAAAGACAAAAGTCGAAACAGACGAAATCAACACAATATATTTGTATACCCTGAACCCATTAAAAATGGGGTATAATGTTTTTGTGCAAAATGCAAATATATGTAACAGGCAGAAGGAAGCATCTCCGACCCCATATATATATATATATATATATATATATATATTCTTGATCAGCAGCAATAGCCGAGTCGATCTAGCCATGTCCGTCTGTCTGTCCGTATGTATGAACGCAAGGATCTCAGAACCTATAAGAGCTAGAGACTTGAAATTTTAGATGTAGGTCCTCCTTGTGCCTGCGCAGATCGAGTTTGTTTCCGATAATCGATAATTTACTCCGTTTCCAAGCAATCGACAATCGATTCGATATCGACATCCTTTTTTTGACCAAATTGGGTAAACAATAAGAGCTAGAGTCACCATACATGATATGTTGCTTCTAGAATATTATATATATGTCAAGTATCTTTCATTTTATACCTATCGCCACCTCCCCGCTACCACCATAGAGCTATAAATCAAGTTAATAACTAAGATATATTGTAGAAATTTTCATGTTGGAATAAGAGGGTTCACGGTATTCCCTAGTCGGGAGCTCCCGACTAAACCTCTTACAATGCAAGATACATATTGTATATGTAATCTTAATTGGCTGATATAGCCATATTTCGAACTTTGTTACCTTCTAGCGCTTACATTATAGAATATGCGTTTATCAATAACTTCAATGTTGTTCGACCTGTAAGAAATTTGACAGGAGTGTTGTAGCATCCAACGCGTAAAATAATTTAGAAGTTTGTATGATAAACAATGAGATTTTTGTCAATAACCTACACAATAAGTTTGGTATATAATTCGAGATTTTATTAAAAAAAAACACTGACTTTTAATCTATAATTATCGATAGACTGTAGACCGTCGCGTAGTGTCTTTAAATCCATGTCTAAGGTTATATTTTTTATTCGTGGAATAAAGAACCAAAAGTTGAAATCAATAGTTTCTGCCAATGTAAGACTTGTGGAGAGAATTTTGCTACCGAACTATAAACTTCCGTTAATTTAACCGCATTAGTCGCGATTTTTTTACATTTGCGTCTTACCGCACAGCTACATCACGTAAGGTAACAAGAATCAAACTTTCAGCATCCTAGCTTTTACGGGCTTTTCGTTGATCAATAAAGATTAACATTTTTCAAAAAAAATTTTCCAACCATTTACGGCCCATGGAACTTGACAAACAAAATTATATTTAACACACATACTTGAAAAAAAATCAATTATTTGACATATGACTCGCATATTTCATTTTTGGGGACAAATTTCCGAAAAGTGTAAAACAAGTCTTAAATGAGTTTTCTTAAAGAATTTTTAAGTTTTTACCATTTAAAAACTGCGGATTTTGCGAAAATTGTCAGATGAATATTCACAAAATACTTGCATACAACTATCAAAATTCGGTGAAACAGACATTTCTTAAATTGTTATGTAGGGCTTTGGACCGCAGATTGCGAAAAGGAGGACTGCATTTTTCGAAATATGTGACATTTTATTCTTGGCTATGAATTTGAGCCCGAAACTTAAACCACCAAATCTTTGACATTTCATCAAAAGAGAAGTGAGTTGTACGAAGAGTGTGAAGCACTCGTGAAATGAATTTGAACAAAGAACTTTTGAAATTAGCTTGAGGCCGTTGAGATGATAAACCTAAAAGTGTCGCGCAATCGTTTTTATACCCTGTACCCATTACAAATGGGTTAAAGGGGGTATAAGGTATTTGTGCAAATGTATGTAACAGACAAAAGGAAGCATCTCAGACCCCATAAAGTAACTATAAATATATATTTTTTTTTAGCATCAACAGCCGAGCCGATTCTGTCTGTCCATCCGTCCATCTGTATGTCTGAAAGCAAGGATCTCAGAACCTATAAGAGCTAAAGACAATTTGAAATTTTAGCTGTAGGTCCTTCTAGTGCTCGCGCAGAAAAAGTTTGTTTCCGATATTCGATACCTCGCCTAGTTTCTAAGTCATCGATATAAATCGATATCCAAATCCGGTTCTTTGAGCAATAAGAGCAGGAGTCACCAATCTTGACATGTAGCTTGTGGAATAGTATATATACATATATCAAGTATCTTTCATTTGATGGCTATCACTTATTGATAATACACGAATATTCTATAGTAAATCGAGAAAGAAAGGCTAATGCCCTTGCAGACCCAACCTTTTCACAATGCTTATAGTGCATTGCCCGTATCTAAGAAGCACAGGGAAAATAGTTAATGCCGAGTTTGGTCAAGATATCTTGAAAAACAAAATGTTTTTTCATACAAAAACTTAATTTTCGACCGATCGATCCTATGGCAGCTACATGATATAGTGGTCCGATCTTAATAGGATTTTGTATATATATGAGGAGTAAAGTAAAACTAATAAATGCCGAGTTTGGTCAAGATATCTTGATAAACAAAATGTTTTTTCATATAAAAACTTTATTTTCGACCGATCGTTCCTATGGCGGCTATATGATATAGTGGTCCGAACCAGCTTGTTTTCATATATGGCTGCGTGCAACAGAAAGACGAAATTCTGCAAAATTTCATTAAGATAGCTTTAAAACCGGGAGACTAGTTCGCATAGAAACAGACAGACGGACAGACGGACATGGCTCTATCGACTCGGCTGTTGATGCTGATCAAGACTATATATTTTTTATGGGGTCAGAGATGTCTTCTTCTATGCGTTACACATTTCACGACAAAATTATAATACCCTCTGCAAGGGTATAAAAAGATGTACTGTAGAAAATTTTGCAAGAATTTCTGTAAATGTGTACACACACATTGTCCTGCGAGCCTGCTTTGAATTCTATCAACAGCATTGCAATTGCGATTGTATTGTTTTCTGTGCTGCTTTTTTTTACATCGTTTTTTTCTCATTAAGACTCAATTAATGGTGTGGCTGTTGAGTAGAGGCGGCGGCAAGAAGAGTGGTCTGTTGCAAGTTGTAACCATATTGAGGAAACAATTTTTTTTTGGCTGGTGTGGCTGTTGAGTAGAGTCGGCAGCAAGTAATGCGATCAGTTGCGAGTTCGAACCCTGCCAAGGGAACATTTTTTGTTTTGTAATTTACTACAAACGAGCTCATAACGCGAGCTGCATTTGGTGTTGGACAATGAGGGTTCAGGCAAAGACAATATAAACACTAAGATGAGTAACGCCATACAACAAAACACTACTATGCAGCTTGATTTTTTAAAATGTAGAACGGATACAGATTTATCCTTGCGCTTTCACAACCGAGCGAGCTAAAAGCTAAAAATAAAATGTACTCTCAGCTTCGGATGTATGAGGGCTGTGCAAAGAAATATATTTTTACGCGTGAATATACATATATAACATAGCATATTTGAATTTGTTGCTATTCACTGCTCTGGCAAAGTCCCTGACTGGTGAAGAAATACATTTTTTCTAGCGCTGATCATGACCTCTCCCGAATTTGTGTTGACATATGAAAGCAAGTTTTGTAAAGAAGTTGGCTCCGTAGAAAATATGTATTTTTAAGTCGATACAAATATTTATATAATTTTTTTAAATTAAATTAATATTATTTTTACTCCTCCATTTGTACATTATAATTATAATAAAAATAAAACAATTAATAAAACGTATCTCTAAGAAACACAAATTTGCACTTTTATTTCTTAATTTATTTTTATACCCTAAGCCCATTGAAAATGGGTAAAAGGGTATAGAGTATTTGTGCAAAATGCAAAAGTATGTAACACGCAGAAGGAAGCATCCCCGACCCCATAAAGTAAATATATTCTTTATCAGCATCAATAGCCGAGTCGATCGAGCCGTGTCCGTCTGTCTATCCGTCCGTATGTATGAACGCAAGGATATTAGAACATATAAGAACTAGCGACTTGAAATTTTAGCTGTAGGTCCTTCTAGTCCATGCGCAGATCGAATTTGTTTACGATAACCGATAACGTACTCCGTTGCCAAGCAATCGACCAAATCGATATCGACATCCTGTTTTTTGAGCAATTTTGGTAAATAAGAAGAGAGATAGAACCAAAGTTAACATATAACTTCTAGAATAGTATATATATTTGCATTTGGTGTTGAAGAAGAGGGTTCAGGGTATCCGCTAGTCGGGTGCTCCCGACTAAAACCTCTTACTTGTTATAACTTAAAAATAATAATAAATTTATTTAGAATTAAGATTTATCGTTAGTATCTAGGGTAATGTATAATTTAAATAAAGCATGCATTTCATGGATTAAGCAAAAGTACTATGCGTCGATCGTAAGCTCAAAACTCTTTCGCTCAAGGTACTTCGAAAACGAAGCGACGCAAAGTACCATCACCAACCAAACAACATATAGACTGGACA